CAACTCTAAAGGACTATCACTACTAGGAACAACTCCAAGTTGAGAAATAAACTTCTTTATCCAAACGGCTTCCTTGGCTGCATCTGATGCTGCGATGTACTCAGCTTCTGTTGTAAAATCAGCTACTGTTGCTTGTTTAGAACTCTTCCAACTCACAGCACCACCATTAAGGCAAAACACAAAACCGGACTGTGATCGAAAATCATCTTTATCTGTTTGGAAACTTGCATAAGTGTAACCTTTTACACTCAACTCTTCTTCACCGCCATAAACCAAGAATGAATCCTTTGTTCTTCTCAAGTACTTTAGGATATTCTTGACGGCAATCCAATGACTATCTCTTGGATTAGATTGGTATCTACTTGTCATGCTCAAAGCATACGATATATCAGGTCGAGTGCATATCATGGCATACATGATAGATCCAGTTGCTGAAGCATATTGAATCTTACTCATGCGTTCACTCTCTTGAGATGTGACTACCTATAAAGCACGATTAGTTGCAAAAGGTTTCAAATAAATTCAAGGCGTTGATTATGATGAAACTTTCTCTCCAGTCGCAATGATTAAGTCTATTAGAATTTTACTAGCTATTGCAGCATATCAYGATTATGAGATTTGGCAAATGGATGTCAAAACAGCTTTCCTTAATGGAAATTTACTTGAGGATGTATATATGATACAACCTGAAGGTTTTGTCACTCATGAAAAATCTCATAAGGTATGCAAGTTGCAATGATCTATTTACGGATTGAAGCAAGCTTCAAGGAAGCAATCAAAGAGTTTGGTTTCTTGAAAAATGAGGATGAACCTTGTGTCTACAAAAGATTGGTGGGAGCACCGTATCATTTCTTTTATTGAACGTAGATGATATACTACTCATTGGAAATGATATTCCGACACTTGAGTCTGTAAAGGCTTGGTTAGGAAAATGTTTTTCAATGAAAGACTTGGGTGAAGCTGCCTATGTGTTAGGTATTCGGATCTATAGAGATAGATCGCATATATTACTTAGCTTAAGTCAGAGTACATATATAGACAAAGTATTGAAAAGGTTCAACATGTCTGATAGCAAGAAAGGGTTCTTATCTATGTCTCATGGCATATCACTTTCTAAGATGCAATGTCCTACTACATCTCAAGAGAGTGAACGAATGAGTAAGATTCCATATGCTTCAGCAACTGGATCTATCATGTATGCCATGATATGCACTTGACCTGATATATCGTATGCTTTGAGCATGACAAGTAGATACCAATCTAATCCAGGATATAGTCATTGGATTGTTGTCAAGAATATCCTAAAGTACTTGAGAAGAACAAAGGATTCATTCTTGGTTTTATGGTGTTGAAGAAGAGTTGAGTGTAAAGGGTTACACTGATGCAAGTTTCCAAACAGATAAAGATGATTTTCGATCACAGTCCAGTTTTGTGTTTTGCCTTAAAGGTGGTGCGGTGAGTTGGAAGAGTTCCAAACAAGCAACAGTAGCTGATTCTACAACAGAAGCTGAGTACATCGCAGCATCAGATGCAACCAAGGAAGTCGTTTGGATCAAGAAGTTTTATTTCTCAACTTGGAGTTGTTCCTAGTAGTGATAGTCCTTTAGAGTTGTTATGTGACAACAATGGAGCTATAGCTCAAGCCAAGGAACCTAGATCTCACCAAAGATCCAAACATATTCTTAAAAGATATCATCTCATCAGAGATATTATTGAAAGAGGCGATGTTAGTATAAGTAGAGTGTTAACCGAAAGCAATGTTGCTGATCCACTAACCAAACCGTTAACACAACAGAAGCATGAAGGCCACTGTAAATCCATTGGTATACGATGCATGGATGATTGGCTTTAGTGCAAGTGGGAGATTGTTAGTGAATGCACAAAAACCAATCATATGATGATTGTGACTTTGAGTTTTGTTTCATGAAATTAATAAATATAAAGGCATTGCCCATTTTATTATGTCTATATTATATTTTTGTGTTTTAATTATTCATAATAAATAACCTTAGAATAATGTATTCTAAATGTCCCTAGTTAAATATTATTTCGGGTTTAAGGTTGAAGTAATATGATAATGACTAGCATATGTAGGGATTCAYATAGAGATATCGAATCTGCATATGGGTACAAAATGGAGATTTTGTGTATCGAACGTGACTCGTTATGAGAACACTTCATTAGATGTCATGTCAGTGTCATAAGTGTTTCTCATATGGTCAATGTACATGTAATTCTTTGACTTGAGAACATGGAGTTTGTTATGTGTGAGTAATGTATTTTGACATTTATTCTAATCATTCTGTAGCTGGGTGACAAAATGATAGTTGGGTATGTTGCATATCACATGATAGAATTAGCATGTATCGAGATAGGATTTGTCCCTCATTTATGATAGGAGTGATGTCTCTAGGCCCCTTGATAAATATATATTAAATAAATGCATGCACGTTTAGATAATTGATATGAGATATCATTATCTATTTTTTATTAGTATGTTAAGGAATCAAGAAACTAGAGATTGGACATAACGAGAATGACACATTCAATGTCTCGTGTTCAATCTAGACATCAAGGACAAAAGAATTAAATATGTAAAACTAAAATTGATTACAAACCGATAATTTGTCGTATCACCAATTCTCGTCATTTGGGTAACAGTAATGTATTGCTAGATACCGCTAATCATTTATAACTATAAATATGAGATTTATATTTATTACCAACATGTCAAGAACCCATTAGACGCTTTGAACATATTCGAATAAAGAGTTTCAATAATTAAAATGTTTAATTATCATATCTGATTTGTATCGATTTAATCTGATTAAATAAAATCAGATATTATTTATGTTGGACATAATTAAAGATGACTAGGGATGGCTTTGTAAGAGAGTGATGGTGTATGAAGGTCTTACACTCAAGCATGGTGGAGGCATGGGTTGGAGGTATGGTGATGGCTAGGCCATACATCCCATGTTCATATAAAATGTATGACATTTTTTATGCTAATGAGTTTTTTGTCTTATAATTTTCTCTCCTAAAAACCACCTACAACAATATGCTCCCTTTTCTTTCTAAGTTTTGAAACCGTGACTAGCATCACGAGAAGGCAAAGGATTCAGATTGTTCACGTGGATACCGTGGAGGCATCAAACTTTGTTTGGATTCAAAGTTTCGCTAACTGTGAGGTATAATTTCGAAACACCTGATTTATTCCGGTTCGTATGGGTCCTTGGAGGGTCACGGTTTTATTTTCCGCTGTGCTTGAGATCCCGTAACCCAACAGTTTCCAAAGAAGATGATAAATCAGCCTGTGGAAGTGGCTTGTTTTGAAAATGTGGTTGAGCAGTTTGAAAACTTTGGTGATGATTTTGAGAACTACTCACATGTTGTTGGGGTTGAAAATTAGAGGTTCCTTGCTGCTTAGGTGCGGGTGGATTTAAACATGGACTGTTCCAAGAAAAGTTCATGTGTTGTTTCCAACTGGCATTGTAATTGTTGGTATAAGGACCAGATCCATTATGAACACAGTTTATGAATTCAGTATTATGAGGACAATGTTCATACGATTGTTCCCTGCCACAACAAACACATTGCACTGAGAGGACTTTTGGAATAAGTGTAGTAACAGCTGGCTGCACTCCTTGGCCAGGAGTAAGGTTTTTAAGCATGGTGGCCATGGAAGTGAGTTGTGCTGTTAATGCAGTGTATGCATTTACATCGTGAATTCCAGCAATCTTCTTTTGCGGTTGAGCACGTGGATCAGCCCAATGTCCATTATTTGCCAAAATCTTTTCAAAGATCTCATACCCTTCATTGTAGGTACTAGCTGTAAAGGCCCCTTCTGCAGTCGCGTCAAACATCTGTTTAGCCATGGAACTTAACCCATTGTAGAATGTCTCGAGTTGAATACAATACGGAATGCCATGGTGTGGGCATTTCCTTAACAACTCTTTAAACTTTTCCCATGCATCAAGAACAGCTTCATCGTCCATTTGTTTAAAAAGACATATTTCATTTCTAGACTTAGCGTTTCTAGTGGGTGGAAAAAAAATTGCAAAAAATTTTCAGCCATATTACTCCATGATGGCACAGAACCCGGTAGTAATGAATTAAACCATGCCTTTGCCCGATCCCGTAAAGAAATTGGAAATAAAGTGAGTCTTAGAGCGTTGTTAGACACTCCCGGGATCAAGAAAGCATAAGTGATTTCCATGAAAGATTTTAAATGTGAGTGTGGGTCCTCCGATGTTAATCTGGAAAATTGTCCATTTGTTTGCAACATGTGAAACATAATCGGTTTTAGTTCGAAATGGAGGGATGTCATATGTGGCCTAACTTTCCCGGAATTTAATTGCTTAAAATCAGGGATAACATAGTCCATGATTCTTCCATTTTTAGAATTTGCCAGATTGATGATGTTTGGAGTTTGCTCTCTTGGTTGGTTATAATTTTCCGATTCTGTGTCCTCATTACTCAAATTATTATCATTATGTGGGTATCCTTGTGGAAAGTTCAGAAATGGCGGTATTGGTGCAAAAACAGGAGGTTGATTTTCCAAATGCGCTATCTCTAAGATGATTGGGGGAGGTAACGCCATGTTAGGAGGAAGTAGAGCAAAAAAAACTCTTTGAGCCCTCCTTCTTTGGTGAAATGTACTCTCAATATCGGGATCAAATTTGAGAAACTCTCCGCGATGTATCAGTGGCATACACCACTTTCAAAATGATTAAAACTATATTAGAAAAATCAAATCTTTTACTTTACTCAAAAGAAAACTTGTAGCTTGCCAATCCCCGGTAGCGGCGCCAAAAACTTGGTAGGTTATATCACACACCTTTAGACAAATGAATTGAACCACAAAGCAAGTATACAATATGGCTCAATATCGTCTTTCCAAGTAATAAAATGGTAAAATACCGGATTATCGTCCACAGAGATTGTAGCAAAAGTCTAATGAGAGTCGAATGAAAGAGATGATTTCAAATGATGAATTTGAAGACTTCAGTTTGATATTCAGGTAATTAAATACAAATAACAGAATAAACAAGGATGACATGGGTGTAAGACTTATGTTGAGACTCAAACGCAAATTGCAGTAACCAATGCTGTAGGAATGATACAGCAGACAGTGTTTCATAACTTAGTTCCACCATTTAATTTGAGGATATTCCTCTCAGACTTTCACTATTCAACTATATTATAGTTTTCAACCCATATCTCTATGTGGTATCCGGACCAGGGATAGTGATGAATAAGTGTCTTCAAAATACATGGATAAACAAATTTCTTTGTTAAAAATCCTCTCTCTAGCCGATTCCCATATCATTTAAGTTGGCGTGTGTTCTAGATAGTTCATCTCTGAATCTATCGCACTTTGACACTTTTATAGAGTGATCAACCTGTCGGGAGTTAAGTTTGAAAGACATAAATGACAAGTCTCTTTGTCGGTAACTTTCTCAAGTCTACATCTTATATCATTCAAGCTGACGTGCATTCAATGGCTTATCTCTAAGATCATGGCACTTTAACATTTTCAAAGTGATCAACTCGTCAAAAAGTGTACTTGGTTTTTATAAAAACTTGAATGAAATAATGGAACGTCGTTAATGAAAACACTAGCTACTTTCTTGTGGTTTAAAAATCTCACATTTTCGTCTGACACCTAAGCTATGAATTTAGCTACTCATAACAAAAAATAAATGACAAGTAAAGAAAATGACGAAAAGTGAAGACATAAATGTAAATTGCGTAAATTAAATGACGGAATGTAAATTACAAGAAATATAAAGGAACGTAAAGTAAAGAGTGTAAATTAAATGACGAAAAATTAAAGATGAAAAGCTAATCAAGAACTTGGATTATTTCACAAAGTAAAGTCTAAAAATCAACTTATAGAAACTGATTTGGGATGCATATAACAAGAGCCCAACCCCCCTATTTATACAAAAACATGGCACAACAAGACAAAAAGACCACACTTGGGGGACAAAGCTTCCTAAAGTTAACTTTAAAATACAATTAGAGGAACTAGATAGTTGCAATATTCCTAAATAAAAGTTAATTAGAATTTTTAACAAAAGTCAGCAGCTCCAAGTAGCTTCTAGAATGTCCAAAAAGGCAGCAACTTAATCATTAAGATCTCCAAAAAGCCATGCATGTATCAGCTTACTACTGCTGCAATGCTGTAGCACCAAATAGTTGAATAATATTTTCCATTAGACTCCTCCTTTGAGTATAAACAAGTCAACCACAAGTTTTAGCTCCATAATAATAAAGAGACAAATAAAGTAATAAAAAAGACTCAATATAGGGATAAAAGGAAAACAATCTTACTAAGAATATGTAAAATGAGTGCTTTATATATTGAATTCTCAATATATATCACCAATCCTTTGGAAACTATTAGGCTAATTAGATGGAGGAACGTTATTACGTCCATTACTGTGGAGCATGTCTCCTCATAGTCAATTCTAGGGCGTTATGAGAAACCTTGCGCCACAAGGCGAGCCTTATATCTTATGAATTCATTGTTCTCATTACGCTTTGTGACAAAGACCCATTTATGTTCTACATGCTTTACACTTGGTGGAGTTAGCACTACCGGACCAAACACCTGTCTTTTCGCCAAAGAATCTAGTTCTGCCCGAATTGCTTCTTTCCATTTAGGCGAATCTGCTCTTTGTTGACATTCTTTGACTGAGCGTGGTTCGATGTCATCGTGCTCTATGATCTCATGAGCAATAATATATGTAAATATATCATCAATGAGTATGGATGATCTTTCCATCAACTCATGTGCATTCTCATAATTCATTGAGATTACTTTGTTCTCTTGAATCACTATTGACTTTGAAGCATCCTCCAGTAATGATTCGTGGACATAACTATAATCAGAGACAATCTCATGAGAAAGATTTTCAGTATTGATGATAAAAGGATCAGATTGTGCCTTACACTCCTCTTTCTTTCTTAGATGAGTATCTATCCAACCAAGTGGCTTCCCCTTTTTCCTTTTAGGAGCAATGGCCTCAACCATACTTCCACTATGTATGGTTGCAACACTCTTTCCAATGATGTTGTGCCCTGGTTTGGGGATTTCTAAGCTTGCTGGTACATTTGCAGCAAGGATCCCCCTTTTTACGTCTCCATGCCCTCTATGTGGCGACATGGGGGCGAAAAAGGGAAATTTCTGAAGAATATTGTAAATCAAGTTATTGAATATTTGGAATTATATGTGATCTTGTCACTTTTGCAATATTAGTGAATGCATCAGGTATCGAGTATGCTATATTTTGAAAATTTAGTATTCGTTTCACTTCACTTTCACATTGTGAAGTATAGGGATCAAAATGAGACAAAGTGGGAACATTCCATGACAACTCCTGTTGTTCCCATGGAAAATCCTTTTCCTATCTCCCTGTAACAACCTACAATTTCCACGTATAGATAATCCACATAATCATATTCATAAAACAGAATGTAATATTGTTTACAAAACATGGGCTAACAAAAACTTTGTTATATACATTTATGTGCATCTAAATATTATCGTTCAACTTTCCCCTTGCCTTTATCTTGCAATGTATGATGACCTGCAAAACAAGTTAGTCCAACAACGGAGCGTTAGACCCAAAAGGTCTAGTGAGTGTACCAATCACATATAAATAACTTATATTCCAAACTAACAGTTTAGAATCAAACCTGTACAGACACAAACATTTTATCTTTATTTAATATAGATTAATCTTTCTCTCTCTCTCTCTCTCTCTCTCTCTCGCGGTTACACCGCCATTACATCTCTCTCGCGGTTACACCGCCATCATATCTCTCTTGCGGTTACACCACCATTACATCTCTCTCTCTCTCTCTCTCTCTCTCTCTCTCTCTCTTTCTCTCGCGGTTACACTGCCATTACATCTCTCTCTCGCGGTTACACCGCCATTACATCTCTCTCGCGGTTACACCGCCATTACATCTCTCACTTGCGGTTACACTGTCATTACATCTCTCATAACAAGTTTAAATCAATAGAAGTTTCAAACCAGTTTCAACCGGATATGAAATCCGATCACTTCTTGTTCGATAATGCAATCCGGACAATACTTGGTAAAGCTTTGAGCGGTTTAGCTCTAAATCGGTTAATACACGAGCGTTTAACTTTAAACCAGTTATCCCTTGAGTGATTTAAGTATATATGTATATATCAAATGTTGCCTTGTCCGATTTAAGGAATATCCGATTGATACTTGTCCGGTTTAGGGAATATCCGGTCACCTTTCGTCCGGTTTAAGTTGAATCCGGACAATACTTGTCCGGTTTAGAATGAATATCCGGTCACCCTTCGTTCGGTTTAAAGAATATCCGGACGATATATAATGCAGTTCATAAAGAGAAAGTTTCAACAACAATTGAATTATTATACAACAACTAATACTTCAAAGCATAATACACTCACCTTAGAATATTGTTCGGATTAAGCCTGCGATTTACCTTCAGTCTTTACTCTCAATGTTCACATAATTTTTTTTCTAAAAGCCAACCCCTTTTCTTTTTACATACACTTGCTATAAATAGCAAGTGTATGGCCGCCTTTCATCAAAAGTCGGCTATCCCGACCTCAACACCCATACACATACACACATGCTTAACTTAAAATCCAAGATTTTATAAAATAAAATCTTAAATTCTTAAATTCTTAAATACTATAATGAATATTACAACATTCCATCCTTAAGGGTGCGTTTGGTGCGCAGACAGGACTGGACAGGACGGGACAGGACGGGACAGGACAGGACGGACAGCTGTTCAGCGTTTGGTAAGACAGGACAGAACAGGATAGAACTGGTTAAAATGACCAATTTACCCCCAGTGAGCTGTTTAGTGTTTTTTCACTACGAAATGCATTCTGGTAACACTGGTCCTACTACCACTACAGCCCTAATAATTCAACAACAACAACAACATTCAGCAATCATAATCAATGTAAACTCTCGAAATAAATCATAATACTT